ACGCTGGAACCAACATTGAACTGCGTCAAAATGAAAATAAGAGAGCAGGAATTTCGATGTGAAGCAAACCTCTCTGGGAAGACAATACCTGTAATTATTGTACCATGGCTGTTTGTATATTTTTGTTTACATTATGTCATTTTTTTACCCGCGCAGAAGCGAAAGTGCGAACGCGGGCTAAAGAAAGGGAAAAACAGTTTACGGGAGGAAGGGTATGAAAAGTTGCGAAAAAAATATTTATATCACCACCGACATCATGTTCATCGCAGTACGGCTGCGGCAATACTGACTTTGTGCACCAAACAAAGATCGTAAATTTTCCTCATATACACAATAAGCCATCGTTCGGACTTTGCTCCGATAGGAGTAGATTTGTTCCGTTTGGTCGAAATAATTTGAAACTTCGTCCTCTACTCCGCTCAACTGAAAATCTGCTCCGTTTTTATCGACACGACTGTTACCTTGGTAAGCTACAGCACCTTTGCAAATACACTTGAATTCGTGAATAGGCCCTCACAATCACCCAATTTGAACCCGATCGAAAAATGTTGCTCTGTCTAAACTTCTGTAATTGCGTCGTTGCCCACCAATGTAACAATTGTCCCGGTAAATCAAGAATGAAATAACTTTTTATTAATTCTAACCAAGGCATTTTAACTTTAATGATAATTGCTCGCTGGGTTATAGGCGCCTTTACACGGGTCGATTTTCTAGTAGATTTTTGTCGTTCAACCAAAATCGACCCGTGTAAATGACATCTCAACCGTAAAATGTAAATGCTTTGGCTAGTTGATTTTCCAGTCTACAGAAATCGATCCTTGTAAAGGCAGCTTTAGCCCCTTCTTTAGTCCTAGAATACAGTGATACGAGGAGAAATGAATTGTTTTTTATAAAGATAAGAAATGCACATCTACTTCGAAAACTTGATTTTTGTTCCCATTTTTGCAGTCCGAACCCAGCAAAGAGCGTTCGATGAAGGTCAGCTAGTGATCAGTATTGCCAATTTTGTATTTCAAAAAGCACAAAGACACTGAAAATAGCGCAATTTTCCCAAAAAAACACCAAATTTGTGTTGCTGTGTTTAATGGTATTTTTGCATATAAAGCTGTATGTTGAAATATTTTAAGTAATCACGCAATGTCACTTGTAAATATTTCCAACTATGCGCAGTTAATTAATTTAATCAATTTAATTAGCAGAACGTTTGTTTATTCGTAAAACAATTTGCAAAACTTTTTTGGTTTCTCTAGCGGCTTTATTTTCATGCAATTGCTTACTTTTGTACAAATGTGCACACACAGCTAATTAGCAGAATATTCTATGAATTCCGTAATAGAGACTGTGTGAAAATATATTTTCAATATATTGCGTATGGATTATCTAGGAGCATATTATCCAGAGGAGAAGCTCGGCCAAACACTAACATACATATGTGTAAGTCAACGGATAAAGTTTTCCGTACGTTTGGAATCAATAAATGAATGAACAAAATAACTAAAAAATGTTCGCGTTTTAATTCCCTAAACGTACTTAGTTTATTGCGTAAGGCACAAAATTGGCAACAGTTATAGCGATGTGAAATTTGCTCATATACAGGCATGGCTCACGCTTGTTTGTGGTAGTGCCCACTTCTGCTCATATACCAAGGATGAAAAATAGAAATTTCAGATTGTACCTAATATCATAAAATAAATGTACCCAAATGAGATAGATTGTACCTAAAAAAGTTACATCATTCATTTGTAATTTTTTTTATTAATTTCATTTAAAACATTAATACAAAGGATGGATGTACTTTAAACATGATTAGGGGTTTTTTTAACTGAGCCTTTATCTATATGGCCTTATTCATTAAAAATAAAGTAGGTTTAAATAGCTTTATAAATTGACGTTTTCATACATTTTTCAATTTATAAACCTTTTATAAAACCCCAGTGGGAAAATGTAATGTATAGTAATTGAAAAAATAATCAGCAAAACAACCCTTTTCACATTCGAGAATTTGCATTGCCTAGTATCGCGAAAAGAATGTGTTTTAATAGGCAATTTTTGGAACTTTTTGAATACATTAGAATGCTGAATACATAGTTAGCAGTTATATAGTCGAGAACTCATAATGAATACATTATATTATTTATCACGCATGTAATCCATTACTACTTTTCCGACCGGGGCTACTTTATTTTTTATGAATTATTATTATTATTTATTTTATTTCCAATAGAATACATTTCAAGAGGATATGGTTTATCGATAAACCTTACAACTAGACTATTATATATTGTATAAAAGAGAATTATTGGTTATGATTGATATAAATGAGCTTAAAGGAAAAAAAAACAACTTCTAATCTTGCAAAGTTTAGAAAAAAACCTTTTATACAAACAAATTTCAAAGGTGAAAGAAAAGAGGAAGCACATAGATAACAACGTAGTATATAACTAATATGGTTGTACAGGTAAAGTTTCTGTATTCATTACTAGAAAAAATTAAGAAACATTTAAACTACTAATTAATGGATTTGTCGATATATCACAGAGACGCTTAAATTTATCAGTAATTTTATCAATACGATTCGAGAGAAGAATCATATTATTTTGGGTATGCAACTCTGCGGTTGAAAAGTGCCATGGTAAATTAAGCATAATTTTTAATAATTTATTTTGTCGAATTTGCAATTTATTAATATGAGTTTTATCACAATTACCCCAGACCGGACTTCCGTACAAAATAATGGATTGAAATATAACTTTTGCAATTGTAATTTTGTTGTCATTACTAAGCTTAGATTTCCTGTTTATTAGCGGATATAGTAGTTTGAGGGCTATATTAAACTTGATGATTATGTGGTGAATGTGATCTCTGAAAAGTAGTTTCGGGTCGAGTACAATCCCCAGATATTTAATATTGGTGGACCACTGCACTTCACTAGTGCAGATATAAATATTAGAAATAGGATAATAGCAAGAGTTTCTTTTTCTCGTGAAAAAGAGGGCTTGCGTTTTGCTTACGTTTACTTTGATTTTCCATTTATGAAAATGTTCAGTGATCAGATTTATAGCAGACTGCAGATGAGCAACAGACTGTTGGCCGAACTCATGTGAATTAAAAATAGCAATATTATCTGCGTACATAGCATAATCACAGTCTATTGATTTAGGTATATCTGAACAGTAAATGATATAAAGCAACGGCCCGATAACTGAACCCTGAGGAACTCCTGCAGGAACTAAATTTAAATCGCTATATTCATTACCAACCTGAACACAAAAATAACGATTACTTAAAAAACTTTTAATAATTTTTATCAAATGTGGTGGAAAACAGTAATCAATCAATTTGAAAATTAATCCGTTGTGCCATACTGTGTCAAAAGCCTTTTCTATGTCAAGTGATACGAGTGTGGTGGATTTCTTCGCTTCAAAGTTACATTTAATGTGTTTACAAAGCCTTTTAGTTTGGTGTGTAGTGCTATGAAATTTACGAAATCCGAATTGTTCATTTGGTATGATATCTCTAGTATCTAAAACGTTCCAGATTTTCTGTTTTAAGACTTTCTCTAGAACTTTGCTTAGGCTGCTTAAGAGGCTGATTGGGCGATAACTAGTCACAAGATTTTTAGGTTTTCCTACGTTGTGAATTGGAATTACGTTTGCTACTTTCCAAGTGTCGGGAAAGTATTGAATTTTCAAGCATGAATTAATTAAGAAAACCAAATAATTGATCGCACATTCTGGAAAGCTTTTAATCATAATGTTTTTGATATCATCAATGCCAGAGGCTTTTCTAGTCCGCAACTCGGAAATAAGTAGAGAGACAGTTTCACGATCAACATAGAACGAACAAGGCGTAAAAATGCAAAGATTATCAAAATGTGACATAGTAGTATCCACAATATGATTATTAGATTGTGTGCCTAAATTGTCTGAAATCTTATGATAATCGCAAAAAATTTTTGAAAATAATTCAGCTTTGCTTTCGTTTGTACAAAGCACGTTATTTCCAGAAACAATTTGTGGTATCCCTTGATATTTTTTCCTAAGAATTTTTGCCAGATTCCAAAATGGTTTTGATCTATTTTCAAGATTGCTCAGTTTTTCTGACCACGTCTTATTTCTGTGTTGTAGTATTTCAAAGTTAATTAAAGCAATATATCTTTTCATTATTGCGTAGTCTCATGGAAGACGATACCGGCCCCATTGACGGCGATAAAAATTTCTCGTTTTAATTAATTGCAAGATGTGCGGTGGTAAATTAATATGACACTTTTTACTAGGCTTTTTGGGAACAGCCAATCTCACTGCTCCCAAAATTTCCTTTGACAGGAAAGCAACATTTTCATCCACTTGGGATTTGTTAGTAATAGTTTCTAAGTCCATCGATAAATTTTTCAGCGATTTCTGCAACATTTTTCTGTATAGGCTCCAATTGGCATTTTTAAAATCAAACTGTAGAGGTAGAGACAAAGGCACACTAGCATCAATTTTAAATGTGACTGGCAGGTGATCAGAGCTTAAGCTGTTTACTGCTGTAGGCTGGGAGATAATCTCCGGTAAATTTGAGATAATTCAGTCAAGATTTGAAGGGTTCGAACTTGCTGCTTCTGGTATGTAAGTGGGATTTTGTGAATATATTATAGTTGTAGGTAGAGAATCACTAGTTTCACGCAGAACATTTCCCCAAGCATTAGCCCTCAAACATCCCCAATTTCTGTGTCTACTATTTAAATCGCCACAGACAACGAACTTAGTATTTTGGCACAACAATTTTTTTAAATCAGATTTGAATTTACGGCCCAAGCCATTTGACCTTGACCCACCAGGAAAGTAAACACTGTAAAGCCTTATATTTGTGTTATTTTTTATCGAAATCTCTATGCCAATATTTTCAATCACAGTAGTGTAAATCTTTGGAACAATGACGAATGAAATTGATTTGCGTATAATAATGGCAACACCTCCACCACTTCTATATTCACGATCGTTTCTCACTACGTAATAATGGGAATGATTAAGCTTAATGCTACTGTTAAGCCAAGTTTCAGAAAGTAAGCAGATGTCTACTTTATTTCTTACTAAAAAGTCAAACAGCTCAGTAGATTTGTTTCGGATACTTCTGCAGTTCCACATAAGAACATAAAGAGAAGAGAGAGACATTAATAATAGTCTTTATATAAATATTTTACAGCTAATTGCGCAATGACATGGAATTGATCCTCTTTGGTTTTACACAATTTGAGCTTAGAACTATGTCAACAGTGAGACGTGTTATTTCCTCTTCTGTAAATAGGCAGCTACTTGTCTGCTTCACAGCAGCTGTTTGCCGCGGCCAGACTGGAACTGTTGGAATGTTCTCTCTGCCTGTACGTTGTTGGTTGATGTGTGCTGGAAGGCCCGGGAAAGACTTGGCGTTATATACAAATGTTTTGCTTGTTTTTGGCATGTTCCGATTCCGGCTGCTTTTAAAATTAACACTCTCTCTTATTTTTATATAAGCTTCACGATTTGGACATGCAAAATCAGTCGATTTATGACACCCACTGCAGTTCGCGCATCGTTCCTTTTCTGGAGTTGGACAATCAGATGACTTGTGCTTTCCAGCACAGTTTGAGCACATTGATTTAACGTTGCAGTTTTTCTCACCGTGGCCATAAATTTGGCAGTTACGACACTGAACTGGTTTGTTTTTAGGTTTTCTCTGAAAATCCCACTTAACAATTGTTCGAAAGAGCGATTTTACTTTCGCCCGAAGTTCATTAAGCTTAACAGAGCTTTTCTCAAAGCTCACTATATGTATAGTGTCAGTGTAATTGCTATGCACTCTATTTACAACTTTAACTTCTTGGCATTTATAACCACATGTAATAAGTTCATTTTTGATATCTTCACACGATCTATTATCCAGACCTCCAAGCACCACTTTAAACGGGCGATTTTCTTTCTGATCATGTGAAAAAAATTGACAATTATTATCTTTAAGCAACTTTTTAATCAAATTAAATGTTTCGTTCGTTTCAGCAATAATTTTTAATCCTAGTGAGATCTTCTTAACCACATAGCTGGTAATTTTTTTGTCCTCTATTAATTTTTGAACAGTAGCACTATTTTGTGTTAGAACTTTGATCGGTGGAATGAATTGTTTTTTAACAATTGGATTTTCGACTTGATCGTTCAAATCAATGTCCACATTTTCATCAGTAAGCATTTGAAGAGGAGCCCAGTAATTATGTCTGGGCGAACCTTCTCCTGCCATAGCTTTTCGAGTTTTTGAAGAAGACCCTTGGTCTTCATCACACAACTTAATAGCACGTTTAGGAATTTTAATACACTGTACAATGTTATTATAGTTTAGTATGGATGGTAAGCTAATATGCATACAGTTTTTTTTGGTCTCTAGAATTTTATTTTTTTTTTTTCAATGCACTCGGATAAACACGTGTTACAAAGAAATCTCGAGCTGCGAGCGATACAACCTTCTCACTCAACGTCACCACAGAGACTGATTTTTTATGAATAAGGCCAACAGACTATAGTCTAATGGGAATCGGAGAAGCGTTGTTTATGTCTAATTTTGACAACTGAAAAATATTGGCGAAAAATACAAAAAACGCACTTTGCGAAGTATACTTCTTTATCCAGCTTTTTATAAAACAACAGAAAAAGTCTACTAATTTATCCGATTCCTTTTAATAGGTGCAGCAAGTCAAGAGAATATAATTAAATTACCGAAAGTAACTTCGAAAGCATTTTGAATATATTTCCCGAAATCAAAAAGCGAATATGGGTCAAATAGTTATAGTTCTCATCTAAAGAAAATATGAAATTTAAAGACATCCTAGACACTGGACTGTATGGGCGAATAAGGGCTGGTTTTCATTATGTCATATTTTGACAAAAAAAATTTTCGACATATTTTGACACAACTTTCTTTCCTTTATCCCTACCTTTATCGATGGTATTATGGGCCAAAAACTTACAAATAGCCGCTTTAGCAGCGCAGGTACACGCCTGAAGGCCTATTCTGATCTAAATCAATCAAAATACCATTTTTTAGTCCCATTTGACAATTTTTTTCACTTAGTCAAAATAAGCCTTAAAATTATATATATTTATATATATTTTGACCACTTTTTTTAGAATTGTTTATTCTTCAAAATCAAAGCGAAGCTTCTCCCGAGCCTACAAGCAAATATATTAGCATGGTAAAGGGAAAAGAAAACAAAAAGAAAAATGCATCTCATCAAAAGATGATTGTACCTAAAATCTAGTAAATATACCTAATATACCTTTAAGTCATCCCTGTCATATACAAGCATGGACAGAGAGTGAGCGCCTGCTTAAAGAGCGTAAGCATAACATGTCGTCGCCTGGGTAAAAGATTGTCGTATGTTAATTTCGGCAGGTGGTGGGAAATCGCGATTGAAGTTTGGAATGCAATTTTCCAAAAACGCGAAGATAGATTTTCTCCAAAGTCTCTGAAAATGTTACTAGTTCACAAAATTCCTAAATTATTTAATTTTTAATGTTTATTGTTAATTAGTTTTGAGTTTATGAAGGATTTTCTTTAGTTAAACTTTGTCGTAAGCGTCATTTGTCCACAATTTGGCAGCCACTTCGTATGAAATACGACAAAATGTGATCAAAATTTCTACCAAATAAGCGACACTTTTTACTCAATATCTCGGAAACTAAAGGAGATACTAAAAATGGAGAAGGCCATTTTTAAGATATTGATTAGCTTAATATGGCTGCAACACTAACTAAATTTTTACTAAATTAGCGAATAAATTGTAGTCAATATCTCGGAAACTAAAGGCGATATCTAAAAACTGATAACACCAATCGAAAGACCTTATTTCAAAATATATAAATGCATCTAGAACTAAAAATCGTCATAATGGCGCTTACGACAATCTTTTACCCAGGCGACGATGTGTATACATGCGAGAGCGTAACAAAATGAATGCACAATCATTCAAACGTAATTGGCACACTAACACAATCACACTTTCAGCTCGGGTTTACTTGGGGTAGTGATCACATCTGCTCATACCCTGCAGCAATAAGTCGGCCAATTTTCCGTTACGGACTAGTACTTGACTGGATAAAATTTGACTGGTCAGAATTGGACATTTGCTTACATCGAAAATGTCAGCATTCGACCAGTCCCCAAGCAACCGGCCTAGAGATAGACGAAAAGTACAGTTTGGCAGTGACAGGGTGGTGTTGTCTTGAAATTCAATAAAAACAATGTAAAGAACACCACCATGTAAATGTCCCAATCGCTTGGTCTGGCCTTGATGCAAAGTGAACATTTGAACACACATTTACATGCGTGGCTGTAACTCAGTGCGCAGAGATGCTTGCCACTATTTGTTAGCTTTTAGGAGGGTCCGGGTTCAAATGCCGTCAGAAGCAACATGGTTATAAAATGCTAAATTTTTTTTTTGTGTGTTTCCGAATTATGAAAAAGCATCTGCGAAGTGCAGAACACAATCTTACTCCAACAAAAAAAATCTCCAAAATTGGACTAGTCCAGGACTATTTTACGGTCAGTATTGATTGGACCGGTCCTTTTCCAATGACACGCCAATGCTAAAAATGGCATTTGAAACCATTGGCAGGGGAATTATGAGGGACTAGTGCTGGTAACAATAGGGACTATCTGAGGGCTAACCTAGGGTGAGTCTGAATTGCTGCAGGTTATACACTCCTCGTCATTTGACACACCCTTTCAATCCGTAGTATTTACAGTTTTCCTTTTGTTTAATTAATATAATTTTTTTGTAAAATATAAAACATTCTACGGGTAAATGCAATTTTAAAATTGTTTACAAATTAAAACTTAACTGTTCCATTTCCTGGGCAGCATTTTATATAATTTTTTTCGTTTTATTGAGAGCTGGAAACAGTTCTTAAAAAAGTATTCAAAAATTTTTATTGAGCTCGAAGCCGTTTTTAATGAAAAACTTATTGTGGAAACGCAACAATAATTTGAAAAAATGGTAGAAGTGATAGCTATTTCGGAAATCACCACATTTCCTCATCAGACTCCTCATCAGTAGGATTCGAACCGACGATCCCACTGACTCAGCCAGTTGCCTACGCAACAAAACCAACAACCACATGATCAAGTGTAAATCGCAGCGGGATAGCTGCGCTTGATTGTGTTGGCTTAGCAAATGAAAAAGTGGGGAAAAAGCAACGATAATTTATAAGGCTAACTGGCTGAGTCAGTGGGATCGTCGGTTCGAATCCTACTGAAAGAAGTCTGATGAGGAAATGTGCTGATTTCCGAAATTGCTATCACTTCTACCATTTTTTTCAAATTATTGTTGCTTTTCCACAATAAGTTTTTCATTAAAAACGGCCTCGAGCTCAATAAAAATGGTTGAATATAATTGTTGTAAGGCACCAAAAAATAACAAAAAACAAATAACTTAAGGACGAGCACACCTAAAAGTTAAGCATTCTAAAAATAGAATTATTAGCACAAACCAACAAAACCAACAACCACATGATCAAGTGAATTGCAGCGGAATAGCTGCGCTTGATTGTGTTGGCATAACAAAAATGAAAATAGTGGAAATAAGCAAACGATAATTTACAAGGCGTCTTAGCACGGTGCATAGGCAACTGGCTGAGTCAGTGGGATCGTCGGTTCGAATCCTACTGAAAGAAGTCTGATGAGGAAATGTGGTGATTTCCGAAATAGCTATCACTTCTACCATTTTTTCAAATTATTGTTGCTTTTCCACAATAAGTTTTTCATTAAAAACGGCCTCGAGCTCAATAAAAATTGTTGAATATAATTGTTATAAGGCTGATGTATTGTGGAACGATTTTCCGTCATCCCTTGTCCAATTTGGTTTGGAAACACAAACAACCAAAAAGATGTTATAAGGCCATAAAATAACAAAAACAAGTTCTTAAAAAAGGACAACATGGCAGTGTGCCATCCTAATGACCTGCAGTGAATAAGTTAGTAATATTTTTAGAAAAATTTCGGATATGCAGTTTTGTAGCCCATTCAATTATAGTGTAATAAAGTGCAGGTTTCAAGTGACTCTAAAATAGCCCTGATATTTGAAATTTTTTTAAATTTTTTATTGACGGTGCTGCGCATTTTATTCCATATCAAAATTTTGTCGAGCATACTTTGTATGAGGGAAAATGCGCAGCATCATCACCAAAAAAAATTTCAAAAATCACCGCTATTTTATAGACACTTGAAACTTGCTCTTTATTGTACGCCTTTGTTGACATTTTTTTAACTCTGTATAAAGTTTTAAAATCGGATGTAATGAATATTAAATAAACAAAATGAAATAAAAATGAAAATACTAAGGATTAAAAGGTTGAGTTATTCAAATGACGAGGAGTGTATGTGGCGTACGTTTGGGAGAGTGGGACTTTTTACTCCAGAATGTGTGTGCAGTGGCTCTCATTGGTATACGTGTATTAGTAAGATTCGTTGGCCCCTTCATGTTTGCCCATGATTTTCCCATTGATCTAGGCCGCGAAATGGGCTCGCTTGCCCGTACGGGCAAAAAAGCCCATTTGGGCAAAGGTGCCCATGTTTGCGTTACGGTATTTCAACTTGCTTACATTTACATTCTCTTGTTTATGTTTAATTGTTTTTTCGAGCTTGTTTGTTAATATTTTTCCGCACATGTAATTAGTCCATTGGAAAACTCCAATAATGTAAGTTCCGTTTTTGATGTACTTAAGTTTTCTTGTAGTATGATGTAAATATGTATGCAAATTGTGTTTTTCAGTCCCAAAGATGCCTTTATATTGGAGGCGAAATATCGACAACAATAAATATAATAAATGCAACTTTCAAATTTATGTTTTATTTATAACCGGCCTGAGGCTCAAAATCAACGTAGAAATTATAATAAAACGGCCAAAAACAAAATACTAATCATAAATGCACATAAGAAAAATTTGGGATTTTTGATAGTTTTTCCAAAAAGATCTTGGTAGAAAAAATGTAACTTGAGTGGCAGCCGTGGCTACAATGTGCAAGCTTTTTTATTTCAGTTTCTGATTTGCTGTCGTCGGCTGTTATTCTGGTGCGTGTAATTATTTAAAAATAGCCAGCGTTGCCGAAATGACGATTTCGACTTCATTTTAACGTTAGTTAGTTAGTTTTTCACTCTGACGTCAGTAATTCAAAAATGATTTAAAAAATTCAGTGAAATGTCTGTAGAGAAGAAGTATGGGTTCCAAATTAAAGAGAAAGTTTTGTAGAATTTAATAGGATTAAATTTTTTGGTGCATAAGGACTGGTAAGTATTGAAAATGTTCTTTTAACCCTCCGATGAGTGACAGTGCCGATGACGTTAGATTCGTGAGAAGGTCCTTAGGGACCTACAAAGAGTTGCTCGATGTTTCGACTGTACATGTGCAACTTCTTTGGTATTTATGTTGTCTTTTGATTAAATAAACGTCCTGCATATATATTAGGAATGAAATAATTTGAAGAACAAGTGAAAAAAAAAAATCAAAACATGAAGACAAGTAACTTGTTATTTCTTCTAAAATTGTACAAGGTCCCTAGGGACCTTGTCACTAATCCCCGTACTATATATGTTGAAATCTCAATAACACTCGAACGTGATCCCGTATCCCTTCGAAACTTATTTTAAACGATTCAGCTTAATTTATTCTTGGAATACATGTATAAATTCTTTTCAAAAATGCATTGAACAAAAAGATATAGGCACATGAAATACGAAAAGGTCCCTAGAGACCTTCTCACAAATCGAAGGGTTAAAATTGTATCCCTGAAATTTCGCAATATTTGATTTTTTTTTTAAATTATATGTTAAGGACTTATATAAACTCTATAACATCCTCGAATTTGGTCGTTCTAACTTTATCAGCTTAAAAAATTACCTATTCGTCCTTGTGAATCAAAAAAATTTTAATTATTTTTTAATTCTAAAGAAATTTCCTCTTTCTTTTCATATGTTTGAAATTACAAAGTCCTTTAAAATAAATCCTGACGTCAGAGAAAAAAATAAAAATGTCACTTTAAATAATAAAGTAGGTTTTAGACCCGTTTATTTATTATTTATTGTATGGTGGGAGAGCTTCTCGAACAATAAAGAAGCAATTTCTTCGATTTAAGTTGTTGAAAAGTAATGGACACTAATCCCGGACTAATCACGGGACTGTGAGAACGACATCCCGAAAATCTCGGGATCGTAAAAAACGAAAAATTAACATCCCTAGTACATACCGTTATGTATAATGTGCATGCCCAATTAAACATATAAAAAATACATACAGTGGTCAAAAAATTATAGCCGAACCACTTTTTGCCAAGGTTTAGCGTATTGTTTTTGTTGTTTATTTTATTTTTATAAAAATATAGTTCATTCTTTAACAAACCTCTTGAAAATCCAAGTTTCCAACTTTGTGCAATATTGAAAAAAATTCAACAAACTTTCGTACAAAATTTTGAGCTTTTTGAAAATTCCAAAAAATCAACCGTAAATTTTAGGCATTTGAAACTTGAACTTTATTCTACTAGAATTCAGTGGGCTACAAAACTGCCTACTCAGAATCTAATTAAAAACTCGAAATTTTTGCGAAGACTTGTTGATTTTTTTTTTTAATTTCATAAATTTATAATGCAGTGTCACTCAATTGTAAATTTGTACAGATTTGTGCATTTTTATGTTGGGCTATTGGGACAAAATAAACAAATTTGGACTTTTTTTGTAGTCATAGGATTGGTACAATACAGCAGTCTTCTATTGAAAAATTTCAACAAATAATATTTGGGTATTCACACAATTGGTATACGATTTACACCAAATTTCGGCAAATACCCAATCGTGTGACACTGCCTTTAAACTTGTATTTATACGGATGTTGTTAAAGAATGAACTATAAAAAACTAACCAAAATTAAATAACAACAAAAATAATATTTTAAAACTTGTAAAAATTTGATGTGGCTATAATTTTTTCGACTGCTGTACATAAGTTGAATATGATTACTCAGCCGTGCAATCATAGTAGCACAATGCCACTAATATTTGACTTACAACAACGGGCAGGAATTTCAAAATTTCAACCCTGTTTATGTGAAATATTTTATTTTTATCAGTATTTTTCTTTTAATCAATCTATGTTGAAATAAAAGTTAAAATAAAAGAATATTTTGCCAGAACACCCGCCGCAGGAATTTCAAAATTTCAACCCTGTTTATGTGAAATATTTTATTTTTGTCAGTATTTTTCTTTTAATCAATCTATGTTGAAATAAAAGTTTATTGTATGTAATCTATGCATTTTTATTGTTCGAAATGTATAATAAATATAAATTTTACGTTTCTTAGCCGACATAATGATTTTTTTGTGGGTAAATTGTCGATTTTTCGCGAATGATTTCGGCAACGCTATCGTAGGCTTTGGCAGCTATTGTTCTGTATAATGGTGACAATAAATAAATAAAAATACAAATACATTTTTAGATTCTCAAGCCAACCGGGCATTTCTCAATGAATCTTGGTAATAATAACTAAGCCTTTTCGTCAGTGTATATACAAGAGTTTATATGAAATATTTATTTGTCAGTGTTATTAAACAAAGTTGTGTTGTCGTATTCTCAGGCAAAAAATATCCAGTAACTTGCCAGTAACCAAATTTCGGAGAGCAATTTACTCCCAATGAGTAAAATATGCAAGAAAGTACGAAAACGCAAAACCAGCAAGAAGTTGCTAGTTTTATGAACAGCTGATTAATTTTTTATTTTCCAATGAAATTTTCTTAGAAAACTAGTACTTTCCATCTTATTATATATTTAAATACGTTTATTTTATCAATTGCAACTCTAAAAGCGCCAAAAAACAATTATTTTGTTAATGTGAATTACATTAAGCATCATGCCATCAGCGGTTTTTCTTACTAGCAAATAATTGCTAGTAAAAATTTATCCAGTAAAAATCCAGTAAAACTTGCAAGTTCATCTGTCAATTTCCCCTCTTTTGCTAGTTTCTTGCAAGTTTTTGCGTACGAAAACGACATCCAGTAAAAAACCAGTAAAATTTGTACTGGATTTACTGGATAGTGCGTACGCGAACAGGGCTATAGATACATGCATATACATATTTGCATATACATACATGTAAAAATACACTCAATCAATTCAGGCGACGTGCATTACAAATATCTGATGGCATCGAACATATGGGCAATATTCGCTGGGAATTGGCCGGTACGTTGTTATTGGTATGGATATTGTGTTACTTCTGCATTTGGAAAGGCGTCAAATGGACAGGAAAAGTTGTTTATTTTACCGCACTGTTTCCATATGTACTACTAACTATACTTCTTATTCGAGGCATAACCCTGCCTGGAGCCTTTGAAGGGATAAAATTCTACGTGATACCACATTTTTCGAAACTTACTGAGTCAGAAGTATGCAATGATAAGTACATATGTATGTTGGTCACATTCTTAACTGTTTTATTATTATAAAAGGTATGGATCGATGCAGTGACTCAAATTTTCTTCTCATATGGACTTGGTCTTGGGACACTAGTTGCACTGGGAAGTTATAATAAATTTACAAACAACGTATACAAGTAAGCTTCATAATTTGTATATAAATATGATGTAAGCACGGATTCTCAATGTTTTCAGAGACGCTTTAATTGTATGTACAGTCAACTCAAGTACCAGCATGTTTGCAGGATTTGTGATATTCTCAGTGGTGGGTTTTATGGCGCACGAACAACAGAGGCCGGTTGCGGAAGTGGCTGCATCTGGTAAGATTAAAAAAATTGGAGTATTCACAACGGTATAGTAAGTGTCGTATTGTAGTATGTCGTAAACTTTAAACACTTAAAAAATTTATTAAGGGATTCGCAAGGTACCATCAAATTCATATTAGGCATTTTCGCAGTGTTAAAAGATAGTTGGTTGTGGTTTGAAGTTCTCTAACCATTTATGTAAGCTTTTAGGGTTTACGACATGCAACAATATGACACCTACGATACCGTTGTGAATTCCTCAAATATATATATTCGATTATTATTTTAGTACTTTTTATTATATTTTCCCCAAAACAATTCATTGCATTAAATAATAATGCAAAACCATTTACGCAACCCCTTCGATTTTATGTTTGCCTGTTCTGTAGTGACATTGGCAGTGGTAAGGTTGCCAGATTTTGTATGCGCGAAATCAGTACGTTGAACTCTTTCATGTTAAAAAAGTCAGTACTTTTCAGTACATTTTTATTCAAAGCAAAATTGTGAATGTAAGTATCAGATAATACTTTAAAACGTCAGAGTTGTTGTTTTTAACAATATTTTGGTATATAAATTAAATATAGTTCATAAAATATAAAAGTGTTATTCATTTTAACATGAGTGTACACATCACTGTACATAGAAGCCAATAAATTATTTTATATTTATGACATTTTTGAATAGCAATAATGAGATCAGTTTAATCTTCAGTCTTTAAATAGTCAAAGAATTGTATACATTTCATTTTAAAATTACTTTTAATATAGGGTTGCCAGATTTTGAAACGGAGAAAGGAGTACATTTATATTTTCGATAGAAAAAAAGCAGTACATGACATAAAAAAGGAGTACAATTTTTTTTTAAATTTTTTGTGCAATTTATTGTTACAAATTACCATTAATTCGGTTCAAACAAACAAAGATATCTTAGATATCTTTTTCAAAGCAACAGTAAATGTGAAAAATAAATAACTACATGGGTTGGCTTTCCAATAGCGACGGTTGTTAAAGAGATGGTGATCGAAGGGGAGTGGACGTGGCACCTTTTTCCGACCTTTTTGAAGAGGGCATGAACCGCCATTGACAAAAATGTTACCCCGACCACCTAGGGCCCTATGGTTCCCCAGGGACCCCTTAGAAAAATTGCCAAAAGTCACAATATCCACTTGCGTCCACAGTATTTTTGCGTAGAATTCGGTTTTCAATGACCGCCCTTATAGGAAAGTTTCCCCAACTAAAAAACTAAAAACTACAAAAGAATTCCAGACTCTTCCTGAATGTATGGCCATTTTTTTTATTTAAGCCTTATAATGAATTTAATATTTTTCTGATTTTTATACCCGAGCGACCTGCACCTAAGGCCATGCTTACACCTTTTCACTATCCCACTTAACTTTGCTTACTAAGTAGTGTTTGTTACAATATGAATGGCAAAGTACAGTGCGTAAAATAATAAATAATAACTGTCGCACAGGTTTTTTGAAAAATAAAAGGGTTCTTTATAGATTTTGTGTTTTTTTTTGTTAACTTTGTAAATATTTTACTTTAATTTTATTAATTGGTTTTAAAATTTTAATCCTGATTTGCATTTGCCAGCTTTGGGAGATAAGTACATGCGGCACGAACCTCTTTTTCAGTAGTATTTTTTCTTAGATTTTGTATAAAAAGAAGAAAAAAAAACCTGTATAGGGTTGGTCGAATGAATACCCTCCTAGTCACCAGTTTTGAGTCTTTTCGATTGCTGAGTATAAGGCCTTATGTTGGACAAGAGACGGAGTATAAAGGACCCAAATAGGGGAAATTAGCCTATGGTTACAGAAGATATGTTATAAAGTAACCGACGAAGACTTGCGCTTTTCTCCCAAACCCCCTGGTAAACCCAAATGAAGGTTAAATTTAAAGACTAAACAATAACTACTTTTTTTACTTGCGCTTTTCTCCCAAACCCCCTGGTAAACCCAAATGAAGGTTAAATTTAAAGACTAAACAATAACTACTTTTTTTACTTGCGCTTTTCTCTCAAAGTGTTTACAGATATTATTTTACACCCTGTATATGATAAAATATAAATAGCTGGAAAAAGGAGTACAAAAGAAGTACAAAGCTAATAAAGGAGTACATTTCCAGATATTTTTTTTGGGAGTACAAGGAAGTACATTGCAATAAAAAGGAGTACGTTTACTCCCATAAGCAGTACGTCTGGCAACCCTATTTTAATATGAATTTTTAATTAGAAGCAGGTTTCTCGCTTTATATTTAAGATCCTCTCAATTGCTTTGTTTGTGTGTGGTATTGAAAAAAAAAACAAAATTACATATTTTTCAAACTGTGGAAAAGTACCACTATTTAAGGACTTCCTCTATACAGCGTGGCGACGAACACCTGTTACCTAGGTTTTTTTGAGAAATAGGAGGGCAATTTATATATTTGGCGAAAAAGGTATTTTATTGTTAATTTTCCACAGATTTAACTTTAGTTATATTAATTAGTTTTTAAATTTTAATCCTTATTTACATTTGCCAGCAGTGTAAACTTTGAGAGAAAAGTTCATTTGGCACGCACATATGTAAATAAGGATTAAAATTGAATAACTAATTAATACAACTAAAGTAAAATCTGTGGAAAATTAACAATAAAACACTTTTTTCGCAAAATCTATAAAGGACCCTTTTATTTCTTAAAAAAAACGGGGTAACAGTTATTCGTCGCCACGCTGTAATTCCTCATGGCTTAGATGAATTTTTTCAACTACGCAATAACTTTGAAAGACTAAGAATTCGCTAAAAAGAGTATCTTACTATATATCTTGTATGCAAAACTCTTTTACAATGTCAGTAAATTGTAAAAAAAAAAGAATTTTAAGTTATAGGCAAAAGGCATTCGAATATTCAAATTTGTTGTTATAAAACTGAAACTTATTTTCGAGATACCTAGCAACACTCGACAAAAAACGTCAGCCTTCTTTTTAAATAATTTATCCATCATATTATCGCAACTGGTGCGTAACCACCCGGCGATATGCCCATAAAACGATTGATCTTTTTTTGTATTAATTTCCTGGTCATATCAAACATTATCTGAAACATGTCTACTATAATTAAATTATTTTTTCTTAGTTTTGACTACCATCGATTTTGGCATTTTTGGCTACATAAGATGTAATGTTTTCAGCAGTAACTGTAGATTTGAGAGTATAAGTGATCAATTCAAGATATTCAAATCCACTGTGCAGGAGATTGCGTGTTTGTCACGGCTGGGGAGCGTAAAGAACCAAAAGTAGGTGGATAACGCAAATTACTAACGTTAGCAGCAGCAGTCGGAGCAGCAACAGCGGAAACAGTAGCGCCAACAGAAGTGTTAGAAGCAGCAGTAAAAGAGAGAGAGTCATTACTTGAAGTTGTCGATGATGTTGACGTGCAAGCATATGGAGCCATAGAGTTCGAATCAAAGGCAGCAGCAGATCTAATAGCAGCAGCGGCATAAAATAGCGAGCCTTTAGTTGAGGTGGACGATGATGTTGACGTGCAAACAGATGCAGCCAAAGAGTGCGAATCTATGGCAACGACATCAGCAGAGTTAGCAGGAGAACTTATTACAATAACGCTCTTCGAATTTTTGTCGACTTTTTGGAGATTAAAGCAAGAACGCTCGTTGTGATAGCTAGCATTGACATAGCCGAGAGCAACTCATCAAATTAAAGCTTGCTTTGCGGAGTGCGAACTTCGGCTTTCAGCGATTCAGTTTGTATGGCGAGTGACGTATTATCTTCGCACATAGAATTAACGATACCAATAATACCGACGTTTTCTTCTCTAAGAGCGGTGATGTCATTTAGCGCCAATTGTAGAGTTTTTGCTTGTTGAGATTTGTGTTCCTTCAAGATTTTTATTAGCTCTTCTTGGACAATTTCAATGCCAGCAGAAGCAGTTGAGTGTGCATGTTGGTGAAGTGGTGGAAGAGTAGGGAAGTTGTTGGTGATTCTATGGAAGTTGAGCTGATTGTCTGCTGAGACATTGTTATCTGCATTTGATTCGCTCAAATCGATGAGAGGTGGAGGCGTGCGAAGGGAGTCACGGCGAGCAGACGTACACTTAGCAAAGAAAATGCTTACCAGTATTAAGCAAAAACTCAGGGTCAGCCGGCTGGATTTTAACACACTCTAAGTGAAAAAGTTCATTGCACTAAGCACACTGCACTTTTGGTTGCGACCGCTCAACTTTATTGGCACAAATTCACGACATTTTCATAGGCAGATAATAGCAGGAAATATGAAGGATTAGAGTCACTGTCTCACTTAGTTTAAGGAAAAGTTATCAAGTTTATGTTTACACCAGTGGCGTAGCCAGGGGGGGATTTGGGAGGATAGATCCTCCCCCTTCGTTAGCGTAATGAAATTTTTTTTTTTGAATTAATAACACAATACTGTTTTACCCTTCCGAAATACACTAGGCCATTTTGCTTAGTTCCCCACAGTGTTGGGAACAAATCTATAATCTATACAAAAACTGCACTTTTCGACTGTAAATTGTATCGACTTTTTAATTTTCTCATATGTATGCATGCATAGATTCCCTTCAAGACCAATGATTTGATAGTATTCACGGGAAATTTTATGTAGGTACATTTACATATTTTACACTTTTAACATAAATGTCAAGGCAGATATTTTAAGATGCACTTCTTAAAAAACAAATTTTTTAAGTTATTATGAATGGATAAAAGGGACATCTTCTTTGAATTCAGAACTAAAACTTGACATTTCAAGTGCTTATCAAAACTTTATACATGCTAACTAGATTCGCCATTTATCTTAAAATTATATAATTTTAATTATTTGTTTATAAAAATGCTGTTTACACTTTAACAAAGCCCGTATAAATCCAAAGTTTAATCTCTGCGCAACATTAAAAAAATCAACAAACTTTCGTAAAGGTTTTTAATTAGATTTCCTAGAAATACATATTTTGAGTATGCAGTTTTGTAGCCCGATCAATTCAAATAAAGCGCAAGTTTAAAATACATAGCTGCGACTTATAGTTGATTTTTAATATTTTTTTTATGAAGGCGTTGCTCATTTTCTTCATTAAAAAAATCGTCGTACATACTTAGATAATATGGAAGAAAATTACATCAACTGTAAATCACAGCTACTTTAAATTTGCACTATATTAGACAAAAATTGAATGAGCTAAAAAACTGCAAAATGTTAAGAGTTAAAATTGTTTGTCGATTTTTTTTTAATGTTGTTCAAAGAT